ATGGGATCGTATGAGGGATCGAATGAGATAAAACAACACCCGTTCTTCCGCGGCATCAACTGGGCCCTTGTGCGGGGCACGGTAATGAACACTCACTCCATTATTATCATGACTAGCTAGCAATAATACCCAGCTGCCGCCGGTTATTTGTGACCTTTTTGTAAAGACGAAATGGCGCACCGTTTTTTTATGCCTGTTTGATAGAAGAAAACCAAAAACGAAATTTGTTCAGAGTCTTAGTTATTAGCTAGCTAAATAAATGGTTGTGACTAATTTGTTTGTGTGTGAAACTGGCGTGGTGCAGGCTCCTCCAAAGATGGACGCTCCACTGTTGTCGGACGACGTGGACAAGGGATTGGGCGACGCTGCTGCCGCCGCTGATAATTACACCGACATGTTCTGAACGAAGAAGGTGGATGGACAGACAGAGATGCCAAAGATGTATCCTGGCCGTGCTAGCTCAATCATGCGTGTTTCGTTTGCTGTTGCTGGCTGTTTTTTTTCTGTTGGTACCCATACTTCGGTAGGGGATGGAATAAGCGCTGGAGTTGTTGAGCGCAATGTAGTAGTCCTGTATCGGGATAGTATTAATAAGCAATTAAGGTGCGTATATGCGTGCGTCCAATGATGGATGGGGTATTGGGCTTGAAGAAACGGACTTGGGAGTTGATGCATAGTCTTCCAACAATTACCAGGAGGAGGAGATGCAGGAGCGGCGACGGAGGCCCCTGCCGAAGTTGCCGTCTCCGGCCGGCCGGCCGCCGCGCGCCTGCGGAGACAAGTTCAAATTTCTTGTGCCGCCGTCGAAAGAAAATAACAAGGGTTTGAAGGAGTAGATTTGAACACTGAGCGAGCCATGGAGCAAACTGGAATCCCGGCGGATAGGATACCGGCCACCACCAGTAGGATACTGTACATAATAAGTGTTTTGTTCTAAGTCCAAGCTTTAAAATGTTAACCAACTTTATAAAAAATAGTAGTAACATATATGACATCAAACTGGTATGTTATGAAATTACATTTCAAAACGGATCTAGTGATACTATTTTAGTGCCATAAATAGTGCTATTTTTTCCTAGAAAGTTGGTCCAAAATTTAAAATTTTGACTTAAGACAAAAACTAGATATAGACTTATTCGCGGACGGAGGGAGTACATGATCCTCCTGAATCCTAGATTAGATCGCCCCGCACGTACTATTTCCCAATTAATTCATTCTGGCTTCAGAATCATTTGTGCCACTGTGGGCGCACGGCACTAGTTTCATCTCGTGCTCAATCGTTCCCTTCAGGAACAGTGCATGATTTGCAGAATAGTTTCAATCCAGTTCATTTTCGCTTGATCTGAATTGGCAGAATTGTTGTTGATGGTTTTATTTTAGGATTTTGATAACCAGCGGACGTTCGTTGGGAGGGCATGGCAAATCGAATGATTTTCATGACAATTTGTGGTCTCCGTGGATGGCAAGAAAAAAAACACTAGCAAGCAATGGCAAATCCGTAAAGTTCGGTATTTTGCCAATATCCGCAAAACTCACCTTATTCTCCCTTTGAGTAATCCTCAATGGATGAGCCTTAAATCACCCAAGATTGATTTTGAAGACGACCACCACACCTTTATAAACTATATATAAAGCACACCATGCACAAGAAAGCTTTCAGATAATCTTTTCGGTGCACACCACAATCAAGGAATCTCCCGGCCTTGACTCGTACCACTTAGGAGCCCAAATCTCCAAAAGTAAAAAAAAAATACTCAATGAAATCAACGGGGAACTAAAATCGGTTTAGTGAAAGTGTAGACCGAGGGATCATCTCCATTTTCCCTCAAAGGAGTTTAGTCTTTTGATGGAGGGAAGAAGGGGATATGGAGGGTTTGAGCTTTCAAAAATGGAGTAGGAGAGAGAAATCAACTCAACTCAATTTCTTGGGGAAGGATAATTGTTGGGAAAGAAGGGGTGGGCTTTTATATCCCACATAGATTTCTTCCTATTATAGTTTCATTTCAGCAGCCCATAACTAATTCTGGAGGTTTCAGAATAGGTTTAGGTTTCAACCTGCCCGGATTTTTATTCGAGAGTACGCCAATGGCGTACCATATTTTTATAGAAGAGAGCAAACATAATTACAAGAGGCTAGGCATAGATGCGAACATCCTGCTAGCGGAACCCACTCGACATCTAAAGGAAAAAGGCCTAACTACTTACCAAACGGTGTATTCTTCCGACTCCGGCTTCATCCCATTCTCTAAGTTCGTCAAAGATTTGGTGCATCAATTGTCTCGGCCTCCTCTGTTGCTCCAGTCGCCCAAAAACTCTGGCATTTCTTTGTTTCCATATGGACCAAGCGACGAATATGACAATAGTGTCAAAACCTCTTCTATCCCTTGTCGCAATTGCACTCCGCACTTGAAGTCACCATGCCTCAAGTGAATCACCAGGTTGCGGCTGCTTAACAGTGACACTGATTTGTGTGAAGCATAGATGCCAAACCTCCCGAGCGTAGGGGCAATGGAGAAGTATGTGATCGACCGTGTCTTCCTCTTATAAGCATATGTAGCAAGCAACCGTACTGTCCTGCAGGTCGTGCCTAGCTCGTTGATCCGAGGTCCAAAGTCTATATTGCACCGCTCGCCATGCAAAGTTTTTACATTTGAGGATCGCCCCACTCCTCCAAATACACTCATACGTTGGAGAAGTCGCAAGCCCAAGATGCAGAGCCCGATACATCGATCGAGCTGTGTACTGCCCCGAAGCGTCCCAAGGCCATGTTCCGGAGGAGGTTTTCGGTTAGCACAACCTGCTGGAGTCCATATAGCCTTGCCGGAACACACTCCAGAACACTGCCTAGATTCCGGACCGACCCGGATTCCGAGCAAGGTTCCTGCTTAGCTCACATGTACTGGAGTGCGTGCAACCTTGCCGGAACACACTCCGGAACACCGCGTCGGATTCCAGATTGCTCGGAACATCATCGAGAAGTTTCGAAAGATATTCCGGCCAACACAAAAATGCCTCATGAAGTGGAATTTAAAGAGAGTTTCTTGGCGGATTTGATGGAGAACATAGAGAACGAACAATTTGGCTATCTTGATGTCAATGGGATGTGGATAGGAATGTACCAATATGAGTTCCACCGTAGATCCAAGGAGATACCTCTCTTAACAGTGTGACTTTCCTAGGACTCAAATAAAACTGAAAACCCTTCGAGTGTCCATCGACGTATTTCCCCTTTTCAAATTAAGGGCCATCCATCTCCCTCGATAAAACACCGAGCAACCAATGCTCTGAGATAAACTTGATAACTAACATTAGTCCTTACTAGCCCCATTGTCATCAACTAAAATACCATTTGGGGAACAATGCGCTTTCACATATGTACTTATGTGTACATGTGTGTGTGTGTTTGCGTAAATGATCCAAATCTATTATCAAAATTCACTAGAAGTACAAAGCACCTCAAACATTATAAAAATTACATTGCGATTATGAGACCACCAAAGGACCACTACCGTCGCCGAAACAAGCCACCGACTCGCCATTGTCGTTGCTTCCCTACCGGAGCCGGCTTGACCTTGTAATGACAACCAGAAAATCTTTGTGCACGTGCCCCTGGAGTCCCAGTTATTGCAGTCGAACCCTTGAAAAGATCTTAAGCACATGACACCAAATCTCGCCACATGACGAGAAACCCTAACCTCACCGCCCCAAGGAGATGACAGGAATCTACGTCGGAGCTCCATCAACTACGTCCGACGACGAACTCAAGGAGGATCGGAGCCTGGAAGACAAACTCGAAGAAGAAGTGACGCCATCCGCCCGGGCGCCGCACCTTTGAGGACTGAAAAACCCTAACATAAACTACTAACCAGAGCAGAGGCACTAGGATTCTCCTCCACACCATCGGCCTCCGGGGCGGTAGGCAAAGGAGAGGTGAATCCACGGACTCGTTGGAAAAGCCTAGAGGGGATAGTTTGCCCTAACCGCCAAGGGGTGGGGAAGGAGTTGTGTACATGTGTAAATTAATGCATTTCTTTTTGAAAAAAGTGTTCTCTTTTCTTTTTGCGGGTGAAAAAAAAGAGTTCTCTTTGATGCAAGAATTGTCTCCTTCGTATCAAAGATAATGCATAAGATAACCCAAAAAGAACTGAGTTTCGGGAACAAAATATCAGATTACATTATCAAGAAATGTTCCATCTTTGGACAAAAGTGGATTTGTCTTAAAGAAAAGTTCTAGAAGCTGATAATGGTAATCAAGGAAAGTGTTTAAGCAAAAAGAAAAAGGAAATTTCATATTCTAATACATAGAGTTATATAGGAAGCGAGATAGTATTTTGTTTTCTATTTTAAAGTAAAACTAAATTGCATTTGTAAACGCAAATATGAGGTTTCTCCGTCTCTTCACAGATCAACCTCCGAAGATAAGGGTAACCAGCTAAAAACGACTAAAGGAGGGAGTTTCAGCTGAAAGTTAGCAAGAAAAACCTGCCTCTCTAGAAGACACAAAATATGCATATTTTGCAAATTAAGATCAGCAAGTGTATTGTTCCATGAAAAAAAACAGCAAGTGTATTACCTGTATTACTGGGCTGACTTGGGTTGGGCTCGGCCAGGCCGGGCCGGGCAGAGCATGGTTGAGATGATTCTTCTATCCTAGTACTGCATTAGGCCTTGTACAAGCGAAGATGCTTAGGAAAGATGTTTAAAGAAATAAATCAGGCTTTCTTTAAGCACCAGTGCTTATTTGTACAGAATAGACGCTTAACTAAGGCCTTGTACAATGGAAGATGCTTAGGGAAGGTGCTTAAAGAAATAAACCAGGCTTTCTTTAAGTACCAATGCTTATTTATACAGGATAGACGTTTAACTAATCGTCTCTCATGTAAAAATAGACATCGGTGTTTCAAAAAAATCCGATTTATTTTTTTAAGCATCTCTCTAAGCACCCCATTGTACGAGGCTTACAGACCTGGAGAGATACCCAGAGCATCACCCCAGTAACAATGGCGTCGGCGCTCCGCCTGCTGCCGTCGACGGCGACGCGCCTCCGCTTTCGTCCCCGCCTCCCTCTCTCCACCGCCGCGTCACTCTTCTCACCGCCCTCCAAGGCCGTCCTCTACGACCAACACGGCCCTCCCGACCAAGTCCTCAGGTATCGATCTCTCTTCCGCACTGGCTAGATCACCATACGCCGAGCAGTAGCATCAATCCTCCAATTTATCGCCACAATCTTGCCAAGGGTGGAAGATGTGCCGCCGGTGGAGCTCGGGGAGCGCGGCGTCTGCGTGAAGATGCTAGCCGCACCCATCAACCCCTCCGACATCAACCGCGTCCAGGGCGTCTACCCCGTCAGGCCTCCCCTCCCCGCCGCCGTCGCTGGGTACGAGGGCGTCGGCCAGGTCCACGCCGTTGGCCCCGCCGTCACCCGCCCCCTCTCCCCCGGCGACTGGGTCATCCCTTCCCCGCCCTCCTTTGGTCTCCTTCTCCCCTGTCCTGCCACACTTTGCTTTTCCTCGGGCTCGCTCCCTCCCTGAATTGGATGGGATTCGTTGGTTGCGGTTGCAGGAACATGGCAGACCTACATTGTGAAGCCTGAAGATGTGTGGCACAAGGTTCGTGACGATGTTCCGGTGGAATACGCTGCCACTGTCACGGTGAACCCCTTGACAGCGCTCAGGATGCTGCAGGACTTTGTGAAACTCAAACCTGGTGAGCATGTTTCACCCTTGACCCTTGTCATCCATTTTTGCCACCTTGCTTGCTTCCCTTAGCATGCCCTCTCATGCCATGGCATCCATTATTTGCTATATCAGGTGATGCTATTGTCCAGAACGGCTCGACCAGCATCGTTGGTCAGTGTGTTATTCAGCTCGCCAAAGTGCAAGGAATTCGCACCATCAACATCATAAGGGACAGGTAAACCAACTTGGGAACAAAAAAGATAGTTAAATACAGCTGCTGTCAGCGTTCGCTGCATGATCATGATAGTTTGCTTAATATGGTGCTCTACTTTCAAGTTGTTTTATATTTCTTATATCCATATTACTTGCTTCATTCATATGTAACTGAATTTTTGTAGGCCTGGGTCAGAAGAAGCAAAAGAGAAACTTAAACAGCTTGGTGCAGATGAGGTCTTCACCGAAAGTCAGCTAGATGTAAAGAATGTCAAGAGCTTGCTGGTACTATTCTGCAGCCTGCATTTCCCACTTCATCATCCATGAAATGTATTTTGTTAATATTTGTTTGGTATGGTAAAATTCTTTTGTTTCAAACCAAAGTGTTTTCCTGACCTAGGAAGGTTAAACAACCAGTTGCTGTTAAAACAAATTATTAGTCATAGTAAAGTGTAATAAGCCCTATAGAACTCAAATCGTGAGTTTGAGTGGAAGTTATTATTTATGCTGAGGTGCAACCATGCAGTTTCCAGTTTGTTTATCTATAGGGGGACTTCGACCATTTCCTTATGCTGGTGCAATTTTGGTTTCTGTCATTTTAGGGTGCTTTACCAGAACCTGCATTAGGATTTAACTGTGTTGGAGGAAATGCTGCATCTTTGATACTGAAGTTATTAAGGTGACGCTGTTAAACTTGATGAACATCCAATTTAAAATTTGTCATTTTGCATAACTAGCTATAACCCTTCTCTTTAGGCAAGGAGGCACCATGGTGACATATGGCGGAATGTCCAAGAAACCTGTGATTGTTTCTACTTCGTCTTTCATATTTAAGGTCAGCCCATCCTATCCTACTTTTGACTGTACATATAATATGTTTGGCGGCTCTAAACATTTGTATGTTTTTTTTTGAGAATTAGTTTGCGCGTTAGAATTAGTTATTAGTCTGCACCTCATAAAGTGCTGGATTATTATATAACAATCGTACATCAAAGTTTGAAGAAATGACATCGTTTCATGCTGCTATGTGTCGAGTTGTTTCTCCTGTCAATTCTTTTACAAGATCCGATGCCGTGACAGGATCTTTCCCTCAGAGGGTTCTGGCTACAGAAGTGGATGAATTCGGACAAGTCAGAGGAATGCAGAACAATGATAGACTACCTGTTGGGCCTTGTGCATGAAGGCAAACTTAAATATGAGTATGTATCTTCAACTAACGCTGGGTCTTAAATGCCCATACACTTCCTATCGAGAAATGAATGAATGCTTTGAAACATTTTTGGCTACAGGATGGAGTTGACTCCCTTCAGCGAGTTCAACCTGGCTCTTGATAAGGCCCTTGGAAAACACGGAAGCCAACCAAAGCAGGTTCTTAGGTTCTGATGAGACGAAGATGATGATGAGGTAGCTAGTATTGTGTTGGCTGGTGCAAATATTTGTATGGTCGTATCACTTGTGTGCATGCGTGTGTGTAGTTGCTAGTCGGTGGTTGAGAGTTTTTTTGGTTTGCTATGAACTGTGGTTATCCTGGGCAATATAAATATAAATTGTATACCACAAGGTATATGATTGTACTCAAGTTCGAAAGAAGTATACCTGAACCGAAGAAGTTCAGTTCCTTCTATGTGTGTGACCCACGAGTCAACTTTAATTGAAAAAAAGGGATATGATTGTCGAGAAATTTGTAAGTTAGTGACAACTAGTGCATCATTTTGTGCCAGCAGTAGGTTTTTAGAGGTATCGGTTTGCTTGAACCATCATAAAAATTATTGTGAACAGACGGAGTCACATGCTTATCTTCCAAGAGAGGGATGTTTGGAGTTCTGGCACCATTTTCCCCTCTACCACGTTTATATACCTTTTAAATTCATGGGAAGTCAAGCGCAGATGATTGGATGCAGTGTGCGGCTATGTGTTCGCCTGCTTATGAATTACTACCTTCGTCCGGTTTATTAGTTCTCTTTGTATTTTGTGCTAAACTTTGATCTTGAATTTGATTAACAAAATAAGTTATATGCCATGAAAATCATTTTACTCCCTCCAATGCATATTACTTGTAGCTCAAACAGATATATCAAGCACGGTATGCGTTTAGATACATTTGTTTCAATGAAACAACTAATATGAATCGGAGGGAGTAGTAGATTCGTGTTAAAGATGTTTCCAATGATACATTGTTTGTTTCATATAAATTAAATTTTCCTAATCATACAACCACAAGTTAGTTCTAATTACCCTATTAGTTAGTTGTATGATTGTTTATATCCGAAAACGCTCCATTTTGATTATCACGGCGACCGAGAAGCCTACTTCAACCGCTGCGCCGCATTGAAACTGGCTTCCAGACTGGCTTTCGGTCCCTTCTCCTGGCTTTCGCGCCTATTTAAGTCATGCTCCGATGTTGTCCACATTGCATCTCTTCGAACTCGTTCTCTCCACACCCAGCCACCTCTCGTAATCTCCAAACTCCTCCTCCTTTCCTCCTCCACTATGCTCAAGTCGTGGTTCTCCTCACTCGCAGGCGGCAAAACGGCTCCGGATCTCCCTTCGGATCTTGCCCTGCCGCTGTCGCTCTCCGGGGCCCTCAAGCTCCACGGTCGCCAACTCCTCTGATAAGGAGATCGTCTCCTCTGGCGACGAGGAGGACCAGGTGTCGTCGTCGCAGCCGCGCCTCCTCTCGGAGGCCGCGACCACGAACGAGGGGTTCTTACGGCAGATATAGTTGTTAACGGAGCAGTTGCTTCGAGAACGTGGTCTGGCGCCGCCCTCACCACCGCCAGCATGCGTGACGGATGAGCCGCCCTCGCCATCGTGCTTCAGTATGAAACAAGAGCCAGCATCTCCGCCTCTCCACCGCATTAAGGCTAGCCACCCCCCCCTCGACGTAGTCGCGGCGTCCAAATCGGGCGTCGCGCGAAGGAGGAGCCGCCCTTGCCGCCACAACCATTACGTCAGGATCGATGGGCATCAAACAACCCGGTCTAGAGAGGGCGCGACAGGTCACTGGAGATGCCACCACGTACGTGTCCGACAACCCAATCCCACCCCAAAACCCTCTCCTAGGTGAACGCACCTCCGCTCTTCGTGCTACAGTCATGTCGGTCCAGAGGGGCGGGATAGGTTACTAGAGCCGACATTGAAGCTGCGCACCGGCCGAGAGCGCTTCCCGCGCGGTGTCCTGGTCTCAGTGTCTGTTCAATGTCGGAGAGACCTGACTGAACAAGACGAGCAACTATTTATCGCATTCAAACCAGTTGCCCGTATGTCCGCCCGTCGGTATTAAACATGGCGGCGGCAACGAAACCATCTTCGGCACCCGTATTGAAACAACTTGCCATTTGGCCTGACCGGCGCCCACTATTTATACGTGGCCACATTCGACACGATCCACACAACACCACGTCTGCTTTCACGTCCTCCCCCATGCAACACCTTCACCATGATCACGAGCTCTAAAAGCGACATGGGAGAGCCTCTCGATGGAGTAGAAGCATGACCTGGCCGGCTTCCAGGCCCGTCGTGCACGGCAAATAGAGGCCGACTTGCCGACGAGTTCGCTGGAGGTGAGCGACGATGACCCGACGATGTAGGAGGCATCCGATGACGAGCCAATGCCCACGCCTGTCTATGTTGGCTTCACCATGGAGCAGGCGCATGTGCACTTTAACTCCGCCATGGCGAAGGAGCAACTAGCGTTGCATGTGTTTGGCATTCCGGCGGGCGTAGGAGGAGCAGCGCTACAACTTCGCCCTTCCCGCACATCACTGACTCACGGAGGGCCAAATCTACGTCTAGTTCTTGAGCGAGGAGGCCATAGTGGCTATGGACGAGAACGCCGGCAACTGCGGTTTCGCACCGGGCCGCTACAACCACAAGGTCGGCCCATTCACGTCCATCGCGGACCTCACCTCCGCTGACAATGTCGAGGCCATGGACTCAGGCGAGGAAGAGTGGGACATGGGAGGCAAAGGCGTTTGTGTTCCATGTCTCACTCTTCCTCATCGACGACCCACAACTTCACTTCCCGGAGCTCATGGAGCGGCGAAGATGCTAGACATGGGAAAAACAAGGACTTGGAGGCCCGACGCTTATAATGATTTAGGCTAGGTTAACTTCCGGTCGCATTTGTGTAACGAAAATATGTCGAAAATGAAATGAATGTGGTCCGATCTAAATGAAATTCATCCAGTTTGCATGAAAACCGTCCGGTTTTTAAATTCCGCTTGAAAATGTATGCGGATATTTGAGGTACATGGTTGAATGGTCGGCTCCCGTATCACTGCTCGGACGCATCCACAGATGTATGGCTTGTCAATTTTAGGGGCCCGCGTTGGAGGTGCCTTGAAGGGGATTGAAAGGGGTCGAGGGGGTTTGAATAAAGTAAAAAATCCCTATTGAGCCCTTCCAATCCTCTTGAGAGGGGCCGCACTGCAAAACATCCGTGTATCTCGAGGACCCGCTTGTCATAAATTCACCGGCGGGGGTCGTCTGGTAAATACCCCTACTTAGACGAGAACCCCTCCCTCACTGCTCCTCTTCTTCCCATCTCTCTCCCTCCTCCCGCATCGCAGGGCAGCTCCGCTCCGCCTCCCCCCGCCCCGAGCACAGAAGAGAAGGGAGGGAGGCCGCCCCGAGGGAACGGAAGAGACGACATGGACGACTACGCGCGGGAGATGATGGAGCTCAAGACGCTCGTCACCCGCACCCTCGAGAAGAAGGGCGTCCTCGCCAAGATTAGGGTCTGTCACTCCCCCACCCCCTTCTCACTTCCGATCCACTAGGGCTAGGGGCTAGGGCGGATCTGCCTCTCCTCTCTCTCGCGCGTCCGTCCAGGATCTCCACATTTCGTGCTTCCGCGTCCCCCCTTCACCGAATCTCCTACATCTTGTCTCTTTTCCCCCACTGGAACTGAAATGCGCGCAAATGACCCCTCTGTGTGTAGAAAGTTTTGACCCTACGCGCCCCGTTCCTGTTAGATTAGCTACGCGTTTCAAATTCTACATGTAACCATTTGATAGTTTGAGAGGGTCCAGCTTTTGCGTGGGTGCTACTGCTCCGTTTCTTGTTCAGATTGCTAGACAGCCAAACAGCAATATAGCTCGCGTAATGATAGCTTCTCCAGTTTCAATTACATTATCTTGCAGAAAATGTTCTTGTGAGTTATCTGCACCACCAGATGATCTCAGTGCGACGAGGCGGTGGCATCTTTGTTTGCAATATAAGCATTAAGCATCAACGGTTTCTCCATTTTTGTTATTATTTTTACAGTGCTCCTTTTGTTATTCTCTATGAGGACATAGAACAGCTGGGCGTCTGGTTCAGTTAAATGTATGCAAGAAGTTTACATATATAATTGTTGGGTGAAGAACAGAAGATGTGTTGTTGTTTCCTTATCCATTAAACCTAGGCTATGTTCGGTAAAATCTACACCCATTGCTTCCTTATCTATTAAACCTAGGCCATGTTCGACGAAATCTACACACTTCCGTGAGCTGTTAGATCTACATGGAATTGCTCATTCTGGCACAAAACATCATTTTTTTTCATTAGTTGCCTTGCATGACCAGGCTGAACTGAGAGCAAGTGTGTTTGAGGCTATAGAAGAGGAGGACCGTGTGATAGAGGAGAACGAAGATGGCGGGAATCCTGCTTTGCTTGGTAGCTGCAACGACCGTGCTAAGCAGCTGCATGCTTCACCGTCAGGTTTGTGCTTTCAACAAATGGTACTTAGTGAATGGATCAATAAACTGTACCTGTTGCCAGATCTGGTCTGGTATATGCAACGCTCTAGGATTTTGTACTGGTGCTGGTGAATATATATTCCAGATGTATACTAGATCGGCACTGTATTGCATGATAATATTTTTCTCTGCTGTAGATATTGGCAGATTTTAGCTTAGTAACTTTTTTTAGCTAACAATAATGGAACTCAAATTACTTAGACTTGTTGCATACCTTTTTCATTTTCTTCTGCACTTCTGAAATATCTATCCTCGTTTCTCCTCTGTTATGACCAACTGACAAATGAATCTTTAGCTGCCATGCTTCTGCACTGATGTTAACTGAAAGAAGCATTTGAAAAATGCAACTTATTGCATTTGTTTATGTTGCTTCCAGTCTCAATCACATATGCCTTCAATGTTGAAGGTCTTCAATATTCGGCAAAATGTTTTTTTGCAAACTATGTTGGATGTGAGTGGTTCACATCCTAGAGTTTCTGTTGCTTGCAGGTAGGTTATTAACAGCACTTATAGGTGAATACTTGGAGTGGGCCCAGCTAAGTCACACGATGAAAGTTTATTTGCCAGAATGTAATCTGGTAACCATTTCTTGTATTTAATGGATCTAGTCCTGTTTATAAAAAAACAGCATCACTAATGTGCCTTGTACTGTAAATCAGCCCAAGGATTTTTGGAAGAATGAGCTAAAGGATTTCTCTAACAAAAATGGAGCTGAAGGGAGCAGGAGCGCTGAGAGTGGTCCCATGCTTCTAGATGTTCTTGAAGGATATCTCAAATATGAGGTTATTCTCTTGCTTATTCAGAAGTTCATCAAAATGGGCCTGTGTTAATTTGGCGAATGGCACATTTCTTGATTTAGTATTTGTATGTGGATTAACCAGCCTGTCAAAAAAATGCATGTCGAGCCATAAGAAAAAAGAATTATGATGCTTGGTAAGGGCATTCTAATTTTGTAAACAAGTCTTATGATGCTCAATTAGGATATCCTAACTGTTTAAGGAAGTTAAATATATTTGGTTTGGATCTAAGTGTAGAAGTTACAAAATATTTTGCCTATTTTGTTGATAACATCTATATTATCATTCTCTAAATATAGTCAATAAAAACCTTTATCTGCCATTTGTGCATACTTGTTTACTTGAAATTGTTCCGTTGTGTAGAATTTGTCTCAAACGAGGATGGCTGGTAGGAGAATGATCAATTCTGAACCTGAGCCAACATTGAATACTGAGCATCGGAACATGAGGAGGCCACCATCTTCATCTTCAATCGCTGGCATGCCTCCTATGGGAAGGTTGGCATCACTTATAACCTAGCAATGTTCCACCTTTATAATTTTGTTGCAGCGGTTTGTCTTCCCTTCCCTGTAAATGCGGGTAACACTTGACTTTTAATTTGCCAGGCAAATGCCACCTTCGCAGACATCAGGTACCTTACATTTAATTCATTCATCTTGTCACATACCCATGCTGTTGCTTTCCTAAATAAATTTCAAAACAAATGCTTTGGACATTCAGACCGAAGAGGGGGCTCTTCTGCTTCCAATACAAGGAAAGATGAGTACAACTGGGGATATGATGCTGATGATCTCTCGGAGGAAGTATTGCGTACATCCACTGCTCTAGAGAACATCCAGTTAGACCGGAAAGCCCGAAACCTGACGACATCTTGGAGGTTAGGACGGTTATCAGAGTTGTTTGCTTTTGTACCTTCCCTTTTTCTTTTCTTTGCCTTTGCCTTTGGGATGATAATTTATATCCTTGCAGGCATCCAGGCAGTGGTGCCGAGTAGAATCTTAAGGTGGAAGAGCTCCAATGCGCTGTTGGCTTGCTTGGTTCCCCCCGGGATTTCTGTATCCACTTTCGGTTGATATTAGACTGCGCGCGCGCGCGTGTGTGTGTGTGTGTTGTAATCCAGCTAATTATGCACCTGAGATGAGATTTTATAGTGAGCTAGACCTATTCATTGTAATCTTGTGCCTGATACTTGCGTGTGGGACAAATTGATTTGATTCAACGAGCTTCTTTTGTTGCAAATTACATCTAATACTTGCCCACGGCTGCTCAAGGATATCACTGAGTTTCAGAATACAAAGTCTGGGGATGGCCATTCGGTAGCGCTATTGTATTCTTTTTCGTTCTGAATATTTTATCATCATCACAAACGCACTATAGAGCATTGTACTTTCTTCTTTCGTCTTCATTGAAGTTGCACATGGTTGTGCTTTCCCTCATATGTGGTTACCAGCGAATTGTCCGATGAACGCTCCACAAACTTGCGTGCGTTGCATCTTGCTGTGCTGCATCTGTAGTAGCTCCTGCATATCCAGCAACCACATGTAAACAAGTCTTCGGGTAGAGGAGTTGATGATGTAGCTCTATAATTCAGTTCATACTACTTGTGTTTGTTGAATGCAGTTCTATGTTTCACACCTTAAACACAAACACTACATATTATAACTGGTATGTACCCCAAAAATTATATTATGCCCGAAAGAAAAACACAAGGGGCATGAATTCATGGAGGTGGCTGTTATGTTCTCAATTTGTATTACCTTGGAAATGAATTACCATTAACAGCCTTCTGACCATACTTGCGCCAACGGAATGCTGCATCCCCAGACGACCCGCATTCTGTTGGAGACTGGAATGCAGGGGCAGCCTCACCAGAAGTCAGGCCATTTGCGATGCTTGATTGCTTCTCCTTTCGGCTGAAAACGGAATTTCAAACAGATGTAGGTAACTTGCATAGTTACATGAGCAAAAACAATGACATGCATTACATACGTTCTTCACAATATAGAATTTTGACTAGACATACTCATTTCCAAACCAAAACAAAAATCAAGAAAGCAACTAGTCAGACAGACATTCCTCTTATTTTTGCAGCTGCGGCTACTGACTAGACCTGAACCTTGAGAGACTGCTGTTTTCCTGACCATACTGTACCACTAGGTTTTAACTCAAAATACAAAACTTTGCACCATATTCTCTTACATTAAGAGTTAGTATTCCACTCCAAGATGGAAACCCCATGAATCTCAACAGGTAGACACACTGCATTGTTTACAGCAGTCAGCTCAGTGGACCAAGGACACCTAGGATTTTTATTTCTTGTTTACCGCAAAGTTGCAGTCCCCTCAGTGCTACAAGGGTAGCACAATGCATAGTTCATAAGTACTCCCTCCGTTCTAAATTACTTGTCTTGGATTTGTCTAGATACAGAAGTATCTAGCACTAAAATGAGTCTAGATACATCTGTATCTAGACAAATCCAAGACAAGTAATTCGGAACGGAGGGAGTATAATTTTCATCACCATTATGGGATAACAAATTGGCAACCACGACATGGTGCTTGTTCATAACAGAACACCATAAGAACGTAACTGTAAGTGACTGTTAAAAAAACATAGCTGTAGTATGATCTTTGCCATTCTAACCCACAACCTCCACATGTTTTGGAAACTAACAAAGTTTCGAATCCGGATATTAAACAACATGAGCATACCTTGTGTTCCAGTGATAGACCGGACTAGTGTTTCCAAATTCATCGACGTAATAACAGCTGCTTTTGAATGCGGCGGCAACAGGATCTGAAACAAGAGCGAGGTTGCACCCTCCTAGCTGGCTTTCTGCTCCAGCATCATTGCTGCCATGGGCGTCAGGGACCACAACTTCTGTACTTGCCGATGACGCTGGCTTTTTTGGTGGATGGGGCTGGGGATGGTTGTGTTCACCGTTGTACACAATTTCCGCAATTTGGCCATCTACTGTTGTCTCCACTTTCCTCTTGACAGGGCAGGTTGGGTGAGTGCACTTGTAGTAGCTCCGCGGGAACTCGCTCCCTTTCACTTGCTTCTGCCCATACTTCCTCCAATTGTAGCCATCATAGGACAGACGGGTTTTCACACTGTGAATTGGTTTGTTGATATCGTGGAATGTCGTCATCTGGTCACAGGAGACTACTTGTTCTGGATCGATGACCATTTTCTCACGTGTGGTATCTAAACCAGCATCCTGTAACTGAAGTTTGGCACAATGTTATAACATGGTAACATTATAAGATCAAGGGATATTTTCAAAATCATCCAATAGATGGAACATAGGTATATTTGATTTGAAGTGTCATTCTTGGGAAGTACTCCCTCAGATCCATAACAAGTGTCGTGGTTTTAGTTAAAATTTGAACTAAAACCATGACAATTATTATGGATCGGAGTGAGTAGCAAACATTTGACGCTATCAGATGAACACAAATTTTATTTCTAAATTCAGAAGAAGGATAAACTGAATCTCAGTGAAGCACTGACCATGCTTGCAGCAACTCCTGCAGATAGATCACTTGGTGGCGGTGCGAAACGTGTTACCTTCGGCCGCCTAACTATAACAGTCTCTCCTGGAGAGGTGATCTTCGCAGAACCAGTCGCAGTGAAGTCTTTCAAGAGCTTCGAGAAGGAAGTGAAACTGGAGAAAGGCCTGGAGGCTACAGGCTTCACAGGTGTTATCTTCTCTTGACTTTGCATCTTCCACTGACAAAAGAGCAGGGGAGAAAATTCATGAACTACTAAACCTAATCAATCACGCTAGGTTACGTGAAAAGCAAGTTTATCATCAATATCTTTCAGCTAGTAACAGAAAATTTTGTGCTGAAAATTGCAAATCAAATATCAAGATATGAACCAAATTAAAGAAAGAGACTGGGATTGCATTAACCTATGAGCAGAGCACAATAAAACATAGGTGTGTGCTTTTTAATGGAAATTACAGGTATGTGCATGAAACCATTGAGAATTTGAGATGACAACAGAGAAAAGAGAACCCTTGTAAAAGGAAATGGAGGATCAAAGTAAAGAACCTTGCTAGATTAGAACATGAATGAATGAATCAACTAAATTACGAAATAAAGCAAAATTTAGCTGAATTTTGAAGGTTGATCAAGCAACAACAACAGCAGAACATACTAATGTAACAACGCAAATTCAAAGTGCTAACTTACTTTTCCTTATGCACGTATGAACAACTTGAGTAAGGAAGAACCATTCAAAATAAATTGAGCAACAAAAACAATGGAAATATAAGGTCCACGTACCTAGGCCCTTGTGCTCTGTGCTCGCTCAGTCACAGCCTTAGACTGGTAGATGCAACGGAAGGGCAAGAAGGAAGTTGAATTGCAGAGTTGACAATAAGAGGAGAAAAGGAAGATAGTTGGGGTGCATGCATGACTGTTAGGTCTGGGCTCCAGGGGTTAGGTAAACGCCAGGTGGCTAACCTCATCAGTACTCACTGTCTGCATGTTTCGCTTTGTAGAGTATCATAGATCTGGAACATGTACTCTTGCCTGTAAGGGAAACTGCACACCGCAGTAGCCCATTGTATTCATTGTACCAAAATGTTATAAACATTCAATACGAGAGAATACTTTGCAGCAAACAATCTCATCATTCAAATACCAATCAAACAGAACCGAAATGACGGAATGCGACATCACAGTGTTTGTTTATCGTCTCTTCACCTCAATGATCAAAATGAACAAGCTAATTATAGAGTACTGAAAGTTCCAGAAACAGAAAAGTACAAAGAAACATGTTTCTTATAAGATGAATATATAAATGGGAGAAGAAATTTACAGCACTGAAAATGTCCCTTGTGAAAGGAAGTATATGCATCTTCAGAGAATTCTTGCAGGGCACAAGAGATGTGCAAGAATAGTTACATGATGCTGGTAGGCCTGCTGAGAAAATTAGACTGCCACACCAACAGAAGAAACATACACTACAACTGAAGAACAGAATAGGCGTTCAACTGTCATAGCTTTGTTCTTTCTGTCTTGCCCCCAAACTGCATTTCGTCAGTTCTGTTTCCAACATCGTCTTGTAAACCAAGGATTGCAAAGTAGACATAGCTGAAGCTTGCAACTCAAATATGCATGCTAACATGCTTATTGTAACATTTTAGCAAAGAACAGTAGTAAAAGAACTTGTGCATGGGATCGATTAACATCCAAGAGCAAAGAACAGGAACACATCTTATACAGTACTAAGATATACAGAATTACTCTGCTACCATAAAGAGGACATGAACTCCAACAGGTGTGATCCACTATACTTCATCACCTTACGAACATAAGCACGGTTAAAATCACAGTATTAAGTATTGACCACATTTGAGAACTAACATTTGGCTGTGAAACTCATCCAAAACTTTACTTACACAAGCTCTGTTCTACGCTATTTCTTCTACTTTGAAGCACACTACGAAATCAATCGTTCAAAACATGACAGGCAACACTAAGGCAAGCTGCTACAGAACTTGGAACACTGACCAAGTAAGAGGTCAATCTTCCTTGCGGCCCTCACCGGCCTTGTTCTTCTTCTCATCCTCGTCTTGGATGAGGCGAGCGATCAGGTGCAGCAGCTCGGCCCTCATTGCCTTGACGCTTTCGGCGTCCACCTCCTTCCTCACCGTGTCGAACCAATCTGCTCCACCCTCCTGCTGCTGCCCTCGACGGTCCTTCCACCAGTTACAGATAGCCCTGGCCAATGCAATGACGTAGACGCCGCAGTCGTGCCCGTTGGCCTGCATCGGGGTAGGCCCCTTGACGAGCGGGGCCCCGTTGGCGGCAACGGGGAGCAGCGGGCGGAGCACGGCGGCGAGCTGGCGCGCGGCGTCGAAGTTGAGGACGCCGAGGCTGTCGTGGTGGACGAAGCGCGGGCGGGAGGCGCCGTTTGTGGCGTCGAGGACGAGGAGGGTCCAGTGGGAGCCGCCTTCGGCGACCGAGGCATCGGGGTTGTCGTTGACAGGGAGGAGGACGAGGCTGCGGGAGGCAAGGCGGAGCGGCTCAGCGACGGCAGCGACGGATTCCGGGTCCGGGAGATTCGACAGGAGGTAGGGTATGGAGGGCGGCAGGAGGAGGAGGTCGCCGTCGTCGTCGCCCTCGAAGGCCGCGGAGAGGTGGGCGAGGTAGAAGGCGATGATGCGGTCGTTGAGGAAGTGGGGACCACGGAGGATGGAAAGGTCGGAGCGGAGGAGCACGACGTCGCCGTAGCTCAGCACGCGCTCGTTCCCATCCTCGCCGGCGGTGGAGGCGGAGGCCGCACCGGCGGGACGCATCTCGCAGGCGGGTTGAGGAGATGCTTCTTCTTCCCTCCGGGAAGTGGTGGTGTGGTTTTCTGATTTACTCCCTACAAGTGTCCCGATCTGCCACGAACGAGGCGCAGGGGTGTAGTTTTAATACGTGAAAGCTAATGAATTGCGGTTTTGCTAAATCTCAGGTGTGTCCACATACCTCAAATGTGAAACGTCAAACCTATATGATCCACACACGTCGATTATACAATACAAATCGTTTCAATTCAACAATTTGAAACAAATACGAGAAAGCAAAACAAATCATAGTTCAACAATCCTGACATTGATTCCATGATTTGTTTTGCTTGCATCATTGCCGCATTCTCCGCTGCTGCCATACCGCCCTCGCCACATCGTACTTCCTACGGTCGTTGATCCCCTTCTTCTCTGCAAGCCACTTCTTTGCATGTTCATCCACTACAAAATTTGCTCTATTTTTTGCGACATTTCACTTGTGCCCTGTATAACCCTTTTTCATCATGGAAAATACGTTGGCGGCATTTTCCGGCCGTCACCCCCACCATCGCTGAAACGTCCTCATAGAAAATAAAATTTCAATGGTATCACTTTTTTCATCACACAGATCGCATTTCAGGTGACGAACCTAAAAATGTCAGCGCTGGCCATTTTCGGTGATGACCCATAATGTCACATATGATAACCCAATCGGTTTCCTAAGTTTTTTTTGGCGACGATATTCCCGTCACCCGTGATGGACCCGTAGGTTTGACCGGTCAAAGATACTAACAGTTGGGGCCAACAGTTGCTGACATGGCTTCTTCCATGTGGGTCTGATGTCTACTACACAACTTTTCTTCTTGTAGACTCGTGTTGGGCCTTCAAGCGCAGAGTTTTGTAGGACAGTAGCAAATTTCCCTCAAGTGGATGACCTAAGATTTATCAATTCGTGGGAGGCGTAGAATGAAGATGGCCTCTCTCAAACAACCCTGCAACCAAATAACAAAGAGTCTCGTGTGTCCCCAGCACACCAAATACAATGATAAATTGTATAGGTGCACTAGTTCAGGGAAGTGATAGTAATACAAGTGTAATAATGATAGTAGATATTGATCTTTTAAATAGGAAAAATAAAAAACATCATGGTAGCAAGTAACAAAAGTGAGCACAAACGATATTGCAATGCTTGAAAACAAGGTCTAGGGTCCGTACTTTCACTAGTGCAAAATCTCTCAACAATGATAACATAATTGGATCATATAACAATCCCTCAACGTGCAACAAAGAATCACTCCAAAGTTTCTATTTGAGAACGTAGGCCGAAACATTGGTGTCTACTACACAACTTGTTCTTGACTCGTGCTGAGTCTCCAAGCGCAGAATTTTGTAGGACAGTAGCAATTTTCCCTCAAGTGGATGACCTAAGGTTTATCAATCCATGAGAGGCGTAGGATGAATATGGTCTCTCTCAAACAACCCTGCAACCAAATAACAAAGAGTCTCGTGTATCCTCAACACACCAAATACAATGGTAAATTGTATAGGTGCACTAGTTCGGGGAAAAGATGGTAATACAAGTGTATTAATGATAGTAGATATTGATTTTTGTAATAGGAAAAATAAAAAACAACAAGATAGCAAGTAACAAAAGTGAGCACAAACGGTATTGCAATGCTTGAAAATGAGGCCTAGGGTCCGTACTTTCTGTAGTGCAATCTCTCAACAATGCTAATATAATTGGATCATATAACCATCCCTCAATGTGCGATGAAGAATCACTCCAAAGTCCTTATCTAGCGGAGAATATAAGACGAAATTGTTTGTCGGGTATGAAACCACCTCAAAGTTATCCTTTCCGATCGATCTATCCAAGAGTTTGTACTAAAATAGCACTAAGTTAAGTTATCCTTTCTGGTCGATATCTAAGAGTTCGTACTAATATAACACCATATGATACACATCAACCAACTCTAATGTCACCTAGATACTCCAATGTCACCACGAGCATCCGTGAGTTGATTATACGATATGCATCAAACAATTTCAGATTCATAATACTCAATCCAACACAAAGAACCTCAAAGAGTGCCCCAAGATTTCTACCGGAGAAACAAAGACGAGAACATGCATCAACCTCTATGCATAGATTACCCTAATGTCACCTCGGGAATCCGCAAGTTGAGTGCCAAAACACACATCAGGTGAATCAATATGATACCCCATTGTCACCACAAGTATTCATAGCAAGACATACTGTTGGGGAATGTAGCATGCAATTTCAAAAAAATTCCTATAATCACGCAAGATCTATCTAGGAGATGCATAACAACAAGAGGGGGAGAGCGTGTCCATGTACCCTCATAGACCAAAAGCAAAAGCGTTAGGTTAACGTGGTTGATGTAGTCGAACGTCTTTGCGATCCAACTGATCATGTACC